AGGTAAGGGAAGTAATCAGGATCTCTTTCCACTGCCAAGAGAGAAAGGAGGTTTCTTCTTCTTGTGCGTATGCTGTTCTCCATCTTTTGAAAAGGTAAAAGAAATGCTCAAGATCCAACCCCTTATGAAGAGAGAAAGGAGTTATCTTCTTTCCGACCGATGGGTAAACGGAGACCTTGAATTCTCGTGAAGTTGGAGGGGCCTGTCTGCTGGGCTGAGATGAAGCTCTCTTGCGTCTCATTACATGGGAGGAAGCTCTCAGTGATTTCTTGTGGAGGATGAGGTAGAAAATCTTTCTTTTTGGAAGCTAGGGGAGCTCTGTCCTTTCTTGCTAGGAGCGAGGTCTCTTCAGTCTTCTTAAGACGAAAAGGCGACATACCAAGAGGTAAGAAGGATGCTCTCTTCTGCTGCCACAAATCACCTGGGGACTGCCTTCTTGTTTTGGAGCATGAGGCTTTTTCCGTTTAAATGCTGAGGGATGACCAGATGTCTCTACTTGAAAATTGGGGGAGCTCCACCCTTTCTTCTTGAGCGTCCTCCCCTTTTCAAGAAAGAATGGAGGTCTCTTCTTGCCGAGGGGTAAACGGGGCCCTCTTCTTTTTTGTGAAGTTGGAGCGGCCTGTTTGCTATGTTGAGATGGCGCTTTCTTCTGCCCCTTTAGATTGCTCTTAGTCTCTTCTTGTCGAGGATGAGGCAGAGGATTTTTTTGGAAGCTAATTCAGAGGATGGGGTAGAGGGCTGCTCATGTCTTATTGAAGGCTAAGGGGAGGATCAGACTCTTCTTTTGAAGATTGAGACAGCTCAGTCCTCACTTCTTGAAAGCTATCTCTCTTCTATCCCTTGAGGAGGAAGAGGGGACGACAAGGAGCTCCTCTCTCTTCTTGTCGACTGAGAGGCAGCCGGAGTTCTTTTTTTCCCGTGAAGTTGGAAGGGTTCTCTGCTCATTTGAGATGCTGCGGTAGAGGATGTGCCAAGGGATCTCTTCCTTACCTTTTTGGGGAAAAGAAGCTCATTTCTTGCGGATGACGAAGCAGCGAGCTCCCTTCATTTATCGTCAGAGGAGATGGTGGGAGGAAGCTCTCAGTGATTTCTTGTGGAGGATGAGGTAGAAAATCTTTCTTTTTGGAAGCTAGGGGAGCTCTGTCCTTTCTTGCTAGGAGCGAGGTCTCCTCAATCTTCTTAAGACAAAAAGGCGACATACCAAGAGGTAAGAAGGATGCTCTCTTCTGCTACCACAAATCACCTGGGGACTCCCTTCTTGTTTTGGAGCATGATGTCTTTTCCTTTTAAATGCTGAGGGATGACCAGATGTCTCTACTTGAAAATTGGGGGAGCTCCACCCTTTCTTCTTGAGCGTCCTCCCCTTTTCAAGAAAGAAAGGAGGTCTCTTCTTGCCGAGGGGTAAACGGAGCCCTCTTCTTTCTCGTGAAGTTGGAGCGGCCTGTTTGCTTTGTTGAGATGGCGCTTTCTTCTGCCCCTTTAGATTGCTCTTAGTCTCTTCTTGTCGAATCCTCGAGGCAGAGGATTTTTTTGGAAGCTAATTCAGAGGATGGGGTAGAGGGCTGCTCATGTCTTATTGAAGGCTAAGGGGAGGATCAGACTCTTCTTTTGAAGATTGAGACAGCTCAGTCCTCACTTCTTGAAAGCTATCTCTCTTCTATCCCTTGAGGAGGAAGAGGGGACGACAAGGAGCTCCTCTCTCTTCTTGTCGACTGAGAGGCAGCCGGAGTTCTTTTTTTCCCGTGAAGTTGGAAGGGTTCTCTGCTCATTTGAGATGCTGCGGTAGAGGATGTGCCAAGGGATCTCTTCCTTACCTTTTTGGGGAAAAGAAGCTCATTTCTTGCGGATGACGAAGCAGCGAGCTCCCTTCATTTATCGTCAGAGGAGATGGTGGGAGGAAGCTCTCAGTGATTTCTTGTGGAGGATGAGGTAGAAAATCTTTTTTTTGGAAGCTAGGGGAGCTCTATCCTTTCTTGCTAGGAGCGAGGTCTCCTCAATCTTCTTAAGACGAAAAGGCGACATACCAAGAGGTAAGAAGGATGCTCTCTTCTGTTGCCACAAATCACCTTGGGACTCCCTTCTTGTGTTTTGGAGCATGAGGTCTTTTCCTTTTAAATGCTGAGGGATGACCAGATGTCTCTACTTGAAAATTGGGGGAGCTCCACCCTTTCTTCTTGAGCGTCCTCCCCTTTTCAAGAAAGAAAGGAGGTCTCTTCTTGCCGAGGGGTAAACGGAGCCCTCTTCTTTCTCGTGAAGTTGGAGCGGCCTGTTTGCTTTGTTGAGATGGCGCTTTCTTCTGCCCCTTTAGATTGCTCTTAGTCTCTTCTTGTCGAGGATGAGGCAGAGGATTTTTTTGGAAGCTAGTTCAGAGGATGGGGTAGAGGGCTGCTCATGTCTTATTGAAGGCTAGGGGGAGGATCAGACTCTTCTTGTGAAGATTGAGACCAAGCCGCCGAAGAGTCTGCCGGCGACTTCTCGCTCGAAGCGCTGGCCTGGAAGCCGCATATCGATCAGAACGATCGGCGGCCGCGTTGGCCTTAGCGCGGGCTCAGCCACGACATTTCAGCATCGCACACGAAACCCGGACAGCTCAGTCCTCACTTCTTGAAAGCTATCTCTCTTCTATCCCTTGAGGAGGAAGAGGGGACGACAAGGAGCTCCTCTCTCTTCTTGTCGACTGAGAGGCAGCCGGAGTTCTTTTTTTCCCGTAAGTTGGAAGGGTTCTCTGCTCCTTTGAGATGCTGCGGTAGAGGATGTGCCAAGGGACCTCTTCCTTACCCTTTTGGGGATAAGAAGCTCATTTCTTGCGGACTTGCGGATGACGAAGCAGCGAGCTCCCTTCATTTATCGTCAGAGGAGATGGAGACTTACAGGGAGGTAGAGGAGCTCGCTGCTAGGAATCAGCTGAATGATTTGGAGGGACTTTCTCCGTGTTTTCGTTGAGGGTTGGGGGAATCTCCACCCTTTCTTGATCCGTCTGTCTACATTCCAAGGAGCCCCACCAATGTCGATGAGGCGAGACGAAAGATTCTATACTTGTATTGAGTATGTATAGAGAGACGTCGGCCCAGTACAATCGCGATATACCTACGTCTATAGTATGCAATGAAAACCCACAGTTTCAGCTGGCGACTATATCCTGTTTAAGCCGGCCACCCCCCCCCCCCCCGCAAGGTCCCTCAGTTTGCTTCTGTTTGAAGTCTGTTGCTTGCGCTGCGGCTTGGCTCCAGCTCTTCCGTCTCTCTCGTGGCTCCACGCCTTTTTTTCCAGTTGTAGTCTTCATGTCAAACGTCCCCCCCGTGCAAGTCATTCGCAGCGCCTCACTAGTCACCCCGTGTTCCCAGCTACGCTTCCTTTCCCCTAGCTTTCGTCGCCCTCTTCTCAAGTTAACGTTCAGTTAACGTTACAGTTAACGTTCCAGTTAACGTTGCGAAAATGCTGGCAGGGACAGCATTTTGGAGTTTTCAAGCATAAAGAACAAGAGACACATGTTTTTCTTGCTTTTTATGCTTGAAAACTCCAAAATGCTGCCCCTGCCAGCATTTTCGCAATGTTAACTGGAACGTTAACTGTAACGTTAACTGAACGTTAACTGTATGTCAACTGCAAATTCCTACCAAATGTAGCAAGATTGTTGAATGGGCGTACCCGTGGCTCCATCCTCTGATGGCTGCAGGGAGGCTTGCTTTTTTCAGGGAGGCATGGACTCAGGTTCCTCTCACATTTGTGGGAGGCAGTTACATAGAAGTGACAGTCAACGTTCAGTTAGTTAGGCGACGGTGGATGGAGGAAATCTTGCACCACCTACACACAGTGTTTCGAATACACATCCAAGCAACAACCCCGCGCCCCCTTGTTAACATTGACGACAGATCTCTTGGGGCGGTGCAAGATTTCTGTCATTGGAACGATTTTGCAAAACCCCATGTTCATAGCATTTCATAGCAATGTTAAGAAGGGGGCGAGGGGTGAAGCTAGATAACATATCTTAAAAGCGGTGCAAGATTTCCTCCATCCACAGTAGCAAGAAGCAAACTGCTGCCACCACTGCTGCTGCTGCTGCTGCTGCTGCTGCTGCCGAAGCGAGCCTTTTGCGCATCATGCAAAACCGGAGTTGGCGCGCAGCTCGCAAAAAGTCGAACAACACGAACAACACAAACCGCACGCAAAGTCGAAAAGTTAAAAACGCGACAACCACACGAAAAACGTGAACACTACTGCTCCTGCTCCTGCCCTGCTCCTTCCTGCTCCTGCCGCTGCGACAGAAACTGCGAATGCGACTGCTACTGCTGCTGCTCCTGCTACTGCCACCGCCACCGCCGCCGCCATAGCCACTGCAACTGCCAGGGAAACTGCCACTGCCACTGCTCCTGCCCTGCTCCTGCTCCTGCTCCTGCCGCTGCGACAGAAACTGCGAATGCGACTGCTACTGCTGCTGCTCCTGCTACTGCCACCGCCACCGCCGCCGCCATAGCCACTGCCACTGCCAAAAGCCACTGCCAGGGCCACTGCCACTGCCAACTGCCACTGCCAACTGCCACTGCCCCTGCCCTGCTCCTGCTCCTGCTCCTGCTGCTGCGACAGAGACTGCGACTGCGACTGCGACTGCGACTGCTACTGCTGCTGGTCCTGCTACCGCCGCCGCCGCCGCCGCCACTGCCACTGCCACTGCCACTGCCACTGCCACTGCCACTGCCACTGCTCCTGCTCCTGCTCCTGCTCCTGCTCCTGCTCCTGCTCCTGCTCCTGCTCCCGCTACCGCTACCGCTACCGCTACCGCTACCGCTACCGCTCCGGCTCCTGCTCCTGCTCCTGCTCCTGCTCCTGCTCCTGCTCCTGCTCCTGCTCCTCCTCCTCCTCCTCCTCCTTCCTGCCGCTGCGGCTGCTAATGCTACATCTTAAAAGAGCTAGCATGAACAGGATCGACGTACAGATAAGCTAAGAGTAGAACCATCCCTAGCACTTTGCGCTCCCAACAGACTTGGAGTTTGCTTCACAAGGTTCTTGGTGCTTGACTTCTACAACAGTTGGCTCGGAGCCCCAGTGCGAGTCGGGTTCAAGGATTTGGTGAAAGTGTTTGGCATTGGTAGCAGCAGCTGTCTCTTCGGTGTGGTGGCCTCATTTGCGTCAGGGTTGTCGACAACGCAATGATGCGACACTACTAGTGAGGTTTTCTGGCTGGGTCTTAAGAGCTGCTAAGGACTGTCATGCTCACCATGAACCTTCGAAGCTGCACCGAAGTGGAGGCCGAAAGAGCATAGGAAAGAGCATGGGGAGGCAATGCGCAGAGCTATACCGTGTTGGGGCCCGGCGTTAGAGTGGAGTCAAACGAGACTTGAACCGCAGGCTTCTCCAAAGTATGCTCTAGTTATTATCGTTTCTGCACGGCTGAACTTGATGAATTTGAGCTTCTGGTGAGGCGCAGATTTGTGGACACTTCCTCAATGCGTCTCGGCTGCAGTGTCGGCATCTGTCCGAATAAATGGAGCAGAGAATCCCATTGTGCCTCAGGATCGATGAGAGTCAAGCTGACGTAAGAGAACAGCAGCCAAAGTGCTGCCGGTCCTAAGCTCCAAGTTCGCCAAAGCTAAGGAGATGATGTCCTACATTCACGGCTTGCGGACCGGCTCTCAGAAGCGAAGCTTGTGGGTGTTGACTTGCTGTAGATTGGCTGGTCACCGCCACGAGATTGAAGCGATGAAACACGAAGCGACCCGCTTCGCGACCGTGGGCTTAAGTGCAGAGCAATGTTTAGAGGAACAGACTCGACTAGACCTGCCGCTCGAGAAAACCTGTGTTGTCATCAGCTACTGTAGCAACAGCGACAGCGACTGCAGCAACGGCAGCGACAGTTTGGGAGCATTACATTGACGACGCATGTCGCACAGGCATGCCAGGTCGAACAGAACTTGGATGCGTACGGTCCCGTCTATCCCAGAGTGCAGCCTTCTCACCGTGGCAGAGGTACATCTTGGAAATGGCGAAACTATACGAGTCCGTTTCGAAACAGTCGGACGTTCCCGTTGTCCCTCACATCGGCCCAGCCTTATTTTACCATTTCCGCAATCAGCCTCTTTGTCGTCCGTCCCATCCGTGGCCCGATCAGGAAAAGCGAAAAGGCCTTCGAAGCTGAGATGAAGCATCTCTGACATGTTGGAGAGATGGCTTCAGAGCATTCGAGGGAGGTGTTTATTGCAGGGCTTGCGAGCTCCAGCGAACTGGTCGCCATTGACACCAGTTCCCGTGTTGATGTGGCCTTGACACTGAGATTTTGAAGCTCTGCATGGCCCCAGGGACAATCCTTGCTTCCACCGCCATCACTACGGCGGCGCAGAGGCTGACAGTTCTGTCGCTCCGGAGTTCCTTCCTCAGCACAAGTGTTCATGATCTTGCAGTTGCCAGACTTATTGTTCCCTTTTGGCAGCCGTAAGTACCACGGGCTGAGGTATGCGAAGCATGCCGACATCGTTAGAGGTCACAACAAGTGGGAGGTTGGCCTTGCCTTGTGCCAGTGAGCTCGCCGAACAGAACTTCTGCTCCGAAACCACACGGCTTCTCTACAAGAGCTGATTGACCTGTTTGTCAGCGCTGTCAACTTCTGTTACCTTTGCACCTGAGTCGTCACCCACAAGGAAGATTTACTCGTTTCCGATGACAGGGAAAGATCCTCAAAGCCTTGCGCCAAAATCTGGAATCCGAGGATGTGCTGCGGTTGGTTTCCATGCTGTTGAGTACACGATCGCATCCCTGAGACTGAAGCACATCTTCCTCCTTACAGTTGGAATGCAGCATTCTCAAGAGCGCGAGGAATGGACGGACAAGCGCAACGCTCTTCTCCTCCTCAGCAAGTCCTGCGAGACTTATCCAATAGTGGAGAAGTGCTCCATACGCAAGCAGAAGGGATCTGTGCTGCATGTGCGTCTCAAGTTCGATTCTCACTTGACCTGCAGCTGCTTGAAGGTACGCCAGAACGGTGCTGCAGTGTGTCGAGAACGTTCGCGAAAGAGAGGCCGCCATCTTCAAGTCTCCTCTGCAGGGTGGGTAGCCCGCGAAGCAGGGGCGAGGAGGCAACCTGTTTTGGGAGCAGACGCTTTGTCTGCTGATGTTAGCTGCATTCGTAGCAAAATGGCCTTGCAGAAAGCGAGCGATCTGAAGACGCTGGCGGCCTCGCTTGCCACCAAGCTGCAGCGCCCTCATTTGCCTAAATTGCGCAGCAAGCCTTGTTTGCCGTCTGCACCAGCCTGCAGATACACCCAAGTGATATTATACAAAACACGTCTGTCAATTGCGGTTCGAAAGCGATGACCGATCTACCAGGAAAGCCCAGAGCAAGAACTGGACTCGCCGCCATGGTTGGTCATGCGGGAGAATCGTGCTGACCATGACCGCTGCATGACCGGGCCTGGTAGCAGTAACAGGATATAGGCAGGCAACATGTCGAAGACGAGGATTTCTGCAGATGTCCATACCAGTCAGTGGCGTGGGGCCTGGTCTTCTGAAGCGAGTTGTCTATACATATATTACATATCATGCACATACACATACGTCTGTATGTACGTGTGATTTCGTACGTATGGACGGAGGGAGGGAGGGGGAATAAGGGATGGTAATGGGTATGTATGTATGTATGTAGGTAGGTAGGTATGTACGTATCTGTATGTTATGTCTGAGTAAGCAGGTAAGTAAGTATGCATAGGTAGGTAGGCATAATACCTAAGCCGACGCACACATAGCATGTATATATATATATATGTATATATATATATCTATATCTATATCCATATCCATATCCATATCCATATCCGTATCTGTATCTATATCTATATCTATATCTATATCTATATCTATATCTATATCTATACATATATATATATATGGTCACGCCCCCCCCCATGATCCATACCATGGTTTTTTCTACCTCCTGCTGCTCATGCTTCGATTTCTACATGACTTCACCTACATACAAAATCATTGGTATTTGCGGTATTTTCTGCACCTAGCATCTACTTAGCTCTACATGTTGTAATTTGTTCTCACATGTTATATCCCCACGAAACCCGAAACGGATTCTGATTTCACTTTCGGGCTCCGCTCTTCCATCCAAAACCTCGCACTCCATGTTTCAGAAGGCATCACCGGTGGTTGTGCAAAAACTTCAACATGTTGCCTGTCACTGTCGCCATGTTTTGGTGCCGATGCCAATACTCAAACTGGCAGCTTCGAATCTTCCTGGTCATTGCCTGATTGCCTGGAAAGCGTGACACATACTTCAAGTGTGTTCATAATATTATAGTACTAACGCTAATACTACTACTAATACTTATCACAATATTTATACTAACATCAATATTTGCAATAGTATTGATACTCCTACGAGTACGACTGCATAAACTCTTGTGGTGTTAACAATAATGCTATCACCAACACTGATACGGATATTGATAATCTGTTGAATATTCATGAATGCCAGTACTATTCCCAGCATGAACACTTATATTATGGCTAATACGACTATGAATAGTCTTAATTCTAATATCAACATTAAAACTCCTACGAATACCAATAGTATATTCGTATTGATATGAATGCTAATCTTTTTACTAATAGACACCTGCATATACTAATGTACATAAAAATACATACCACTATCTTAAGATACAGATATATACACCAGTGCATTCATGTACTAATGTTTTGGCATAAACATATACCCATATACCAATGTAATAATATACTTCCCGTTAATGTATGAATACACTATACTAATATGCGAGTATACTAATATACGGCTACTGCAACATGCAAGTATACCGACATGACAAATTAGTAGGCTAATATGCCAACATACTGATATACTTGTAAATATGACTAGACAATACATGAATATAGCACACATACTAGTAAACTAATACACCAATATACTAGTGTACCCGTGCACCAGTTGTGCTAACATATCAAATATACAAGTATACAAGTATACAAATATGTTACTGTTCGAATGCATTAATAATATATTGATATACTAGTCTGCTACTGTACGAAACTATCAATATTCTAACATATCAAAACTAGTTCTAGCATTGATACTAATACTAGCACTTCTGCGAATATAAGCTGCGGTTAAACCCAACATTAACACTGACACTGATACTAGCAGTGGTGCTGTATTACTGACATTGACACTGGCACTAGCGCTAACTCTAAAACGAGCATGAGCACTGACACTAGTTTATGTTTACTAATACTGACATGCATACTATCACAGCAAACACTAGTACTAATATTATTAAGAACAGTACTCATCCTAATATCGATACTTCCACAAAACTATCACGTAACTCATGTGCCGCGCGTCTGGTGCATGCGTCCTCAGTACATGGCATGTCAAAGTATATGTTGTATATCTACTGCATATGTTTTACTTTACAGATTGTCGTCGGGTGTGGTGTGTTTTGATACAATATCTCAAAGAATTGGTGGCATCGAGAGCATCTTGCAAGGATATGTCACCCCCGTCGCGGATCATGCTGGAAAAGAGGAAAAGAGGGACACAAACGATGACTTTCACTCGGGAGAGAACTGCAACGGATATGTCGTGGAACATACCGCACCTTGACATGGCATTAAAACAAAGCATATGCCGTGTGTATACACGTGACAAACAAAGACATAATAGGAACACAGCATCCAAGGTTAGCAAATGCCGCCTGGCTCGAAAATCCCCAAAATTTGTAAAGCCTGAAATTCGAAAACATCGGCAGGGATCAAAAATCACCAAAATTCCCAAAATCGTGGCATCTATGGGGCCATGGGTGTTTAGTTTTGCAAGACTTTGGGGATTTTCGAGCCTGGCAATGTTTTAGCATCCGACGTTGACGAAATGCCGCCAGGCTCGAAAATCACCAAAATTTGTAAAGCCTGAAATGCGAAAACACTGGCAGGGATCAAAAATCACCAAAATTCCCAAAATCCTGGCAACTATGCGGAGTGCGGGGCCATAGTCTCTCACATTTTGGGGATTTTGGGGATTTTTGATCCCTGCCAGTGTTTTCGCACTTCAGGCTTCAGGAATTTTGGGGATTTTCGAGCCTGGCAGTGTTTTAGCATCCGACGTTGACGAAATGCCGCCAGGCTCGAAAATCCCCAAAATTTTGAAAGCCTGAAAAGCGAAAACACTGGCAGGGATCAAAAATCCCCAAAATTCCCAAAATCCTGGCAACTATGCGGAGTGCGGGGCCATAGTCTCTCACATTTTGGGGATTTTGGGGATTTTTGATCCCTGCCAGTGTTTTCGCACTTCAGGCTTCAGGAATTTTGGGGATTTTCGAGCCTGGCAGTGTTTCAGCATCCGAAGCTGCCCACTTCCCATGATCCACTGCTTACCAAAAGCAAGCATAGTATGGATCATGGGGGGGGGCGTAAGCATATATATATATATATATATATATATATATACACACATACAGACTTGCATAGATACATGCATGCATACATACATACATACATACACGGCACACATACACACATGCATGCATGCACGAGCAGGCATGGAGACCGGACATGCTGAGGTACCCCATGGTGTTTACGAATGAACACATGTGTGCGGCTGTGTGTGCACACACATTTACACATACACACATATACATATGTATGCAAACACATGCCAGGATCAAGACCGAGAGCAAAGAGGCTATCGAGCCAAGATTGGACTTCTTTAGCTGCAGGGCTCCGCTCGAGCACTGTGTGTCGGCTTTGGTTTAGGGTGGTTCTTGCTACCCTAGTACATCCAGTCGTGCACCTCCCGAAATTTGCTCTGTCGTGCAACACAGAACCGAAATGGAGTAGATGTGCCAAAGTCTTCGCATCTGTGCAGGCGCCGAAGGGTGCTGCAAAAGCCAAAGAGGCACCAAAGGCAAAAGTTGTCAAGGAAGCTCCAAAAGATGCCACTCCCAAGGCCAGGTGATCCACTTCACTTGCTTCTCGTTCGACAGAGTTTTCGGAACATGTCTACAGTCCAGCCACCGGTTTTGGTGGGAGGAGTCCAAGAAAGATGGAGATGCAAAGAAGGAGGCACCCGGCGTGCAGTTGTAGGCATATGGCTGTGGAGGGAACTGTAACTTAGAGTAAGCTCGTATTATTCTTCCGGTTTCACGGACTGAGGAGGAAGGCATGCTCCTTGCTTCTGGAAGGTGGTGAAGACGAAGGAGGCGCCCAAAACAAAGGAAGCCACGAAGGACGGGAACTTGTCTCCATTCTTGGACGATCTCCCAAGGCAGGAAGAAAGTACACGATTTGCGTGTGTAGACCGATGAACTCCGTCCTTCAAATTTGTTGGGGAGATCATGCCCATAGCGCAATGTGCCTGCACGTTGCCATGCAAAGCTCTGAAGTCATGCCATACACAGGGAGTTGTGTTTTCGTCATAGCATATGCGCTCTTTCAGCAGGAAAGCGTGCAATCGGCCCCGAAAGCCAAGAAGGACGACACGCACAGCATAGATCAAAGGAAGTGCTACGGCCGGTCCTTTTCTTTGGCCGTATTGGATTATATCATACTTTTCCATGTTATGATATGTCATATTATACTTTATTAGGGTAGATGAGATTGTATTGTATTATGTTCTACGGGGCTATAGTAATGATGTTATATGGTGTTTTCGTATACTAATCTGGTATAGTATGGTATTATGTCCTGTTACATGGTACTGCATTGCACTGCATTGCACTGTATATGAATGCGAATGCGTTAAAACGTATCTTTTACATGATACTGTTCTATACTATACTCTACTGTACGGCACTACACCATACAGTGTTCTGTACTGTACTATAGATCCTTCCATTCCATTCTAGTCTTGTCTATTCGATTGTATGAAATTATGTTACATTCCATTCTGTTAAGCGCAGGAGTCCAGGGAGACGAAAGAGTCCAAGCCCAAGGAGGACCCTTCGGCCTCGTTCAAAGCAGCTATTCTGCACGTCACGTCGGAGACGTTTTTGGAAGCTTTGGCTCGGAGTTGCTTCTTTAAGAGGGTGCCGCCCAAGGCCAGGTCTTTCACTCGACAGTACGAGGTTCTAGGTTTGACACTGTAGCAGGCGTGATTCATTGTCCATCATGGCACGATGCCTAGATGAATCAGAGTTTCAGTCTCAGCCCATGAGTACGATGCTGGCTGCTGGACATCGCCTGCCCTCCGTGCCGATGGTTGCGAAAGCTCGTGATGCAGCTTGGTCTGCCTCTCATAACGCTTAGGCCCGTCTTGTGGTTCTCAAGATCCCAAGAGCAACCAAGAGCGAGCATAGAGCATTTGCAGATCCATTGAAGGTACAGTGGTTCGGGGTGCCATTTCGCGATAGAAAAGGTCCTGATGCAGATGGTTGGCAGGCCAGCCAGGGATTTTATCGGCAAGCTGTGGCACATGCGGCACATTCGTTTTGTTGCTGGAATGTTTCGCGCGCCAGGAAGCAACTGTACATGCCAGCGCCTTGCATGTTGGCCGCAGTGCGGTCGCTCTCGGTGCCTTGGTCTTGGTGTAAGCAACGAATAGCAGCGACGCAGCGAAGCACCTTGTTCACCTGGACAGGTTTGCTAATGATCAATGATGCATTTCTCCAAGGTGGTGTTGCATGGCGATGCGTCCGCCGTCTGGCTGCAGAGGCTAGGAGAATTGGAGAGCGCAACACACATTCGCAGCTACATGATGGATCATACACTACCATAAAATGCATCTTCATACAGTATGTGATATAAGACAGAACAGTGTAATGCAATGAAATGTAACGTAGCATCATACGATGATATACGATGTAACATCGCATGGCAGAGTATGTCAAGCTCAGTATAACCTGTAACATAGCCTAACACACTATGTTACATTATCGGGTAGCATAATTAGTCTTTACATAAGTTGTATGTCCAGTATATGAAGGCATGACGATCTTTCCTCTGGCAGGCCGAGGACGGAAAGCTGCTGTCCGGCAAGGTTCAGCTCGTTGCTTCTGTTTTGTGGTAAATTTGTCGGCAGAAGCATTGTGAAGGTGCGGACTTGAGTGGCGACGGTTCAACCTGGATGATCATGCAATCTTGTCTAGCGGAAGGCTGTGTTCAGACATCTTGGTGGGAAGCAAAGCAGTCCAGAACGCTTGCTGCTGGATCAAGGCGGGCATGCTCTAGCAATCACTATCTGCAACAGTGTATCGACAACGGGTAAGCACCCCCAAAAAGGCGCCTCGTCCAACGGCAAGTTGCTTTCGTTCACTTGTTTGTCAATCCACCCTGTTATTGTGTTTGTCCGCACAAGTTCTACGGACTTCAAGACAGGGAGAGCTTTGGCGGGTAAACGAGACTCCGACACCGATACTTCCGTGGCGGAACCGCACTTTCTACATCACAATCATGGCCACCAGTTCCTGCTAGATTGCTATGTCACGTGCATTTTGGCGTTGCCACATCCTGCAGGCAGCTTGAGTGCCGCATACGCGGGCCTTCTGACAAACCGCGCCTTGGTAGCAGCCGAGCAGAGGCCCATCACTGTCAAAGAGAACCAGCACAGTCCATACTCCGATTGAAGCCTCGATCTTTGCAAAATCCAGCGGAGGCCCACTGCAGCTGCGCTGGCAAGAGAAATCCTCTGCGGATAGCCTGGAAGCCGACGAGGAGGGCGCACTTAAGCTGTCTTTCCCCTTCAGCCTAAATAGCTACCTGGACTGTTTATTTTTGGGGGGTTGCTGATTGTAATTATAGTAACGAAAGTATGATGGGCTCCAAAACCCTATTCTAATTATTCACTTAGGGCCGCAAAACAGCCGATGCTTGGAAGGCTCGTCTTCCTGATGCAGTTGCCCGGCTGCACGAGTGCAGCTTTGAAAGGGAGAGGGGAGGGCGGGGAGTGCAATTGGGAATGCTTTGCCCGGCACATGGTGGGCATTGAAGCTTCTGTATCCCGCGTCAGACTGAAACGACTGCACTCCAAAGTTTGCATCAAGCACTGAACGTCTGTCACTTGTTTGGCAGAACCATCGCGTCTTGACGGAAGAGAAAGACGAAACATGAGCGGGTTTACTGGTTGGTTTGTTTTCAACGGAATCCCGCGACTTCGTCTCTCACATATCTTCGCCGTTTGTCTGGTACTCCGGTAATCCGCCATTGTTCCTGTCCTGAGGTCTGTGCCGCTCGGGCTTATGGTGTCTTGCCAGCACCAAGAGCTCCCTTGTAACTCTTCTTTGGGCACCTCAATGGATTCGTCGGGGTTCCCGACTGCCAAGAGGTGTGCGAAGCCAGGAAGCTGCTGACTGCATCTTTGTCGGCATGATGTTAGCTTGTTTTGCTTCGGGTAAGATGATCTGAGATGCTGCAGAGTAGCCTGTTCCAAAGCCTGCACTACGCTTGAACCCCGAGGTCGGAGTGGCCCTTGTGGTCTCATGCTGGCTCGGAGGCATTTTAAACCAGCGCAGTTTTCAAGCGGCAGTGGTTATCAGGACAAATCATGTCCGTGAAGGTGCAACTGCAGCGTTATTGCACACAAAATAGAGAAAGCCCCATAAAGTGAGCCTCGCTATGCTTTGAGAGGCCTTTGCCCGGAAGCCGACGTGAGGTAGCGCTGGTGGACTGGACATGACAAGTCCCAGAAGAGCTTCGAAGACAGTCGTAGTACTTCTTCTAGAAGACACCCTTTGTGAGTTCCATGTTTTGGCGCTTTCTGGGCAGACCTTGGAGTCTCTCAGTCGCAGGATCCCCGGATACTACTCCCTGCACGCTTGCGTGCCAAGCCGCGCTGGTCCAAAGTTTGGGCCCACGCCTTACGTGGAGCACGGCGAATGCCTGTGAGGAGGTCATCCCCGAAAGAAATCCGTGATCTTTCCCAGCCTTTGAGCAACAGGGGAGCCACTCATGCGAAAGGGGGCAGGTGTGGTGACGTCTCTCCTCAAGACCTTGTCGGGTCCGCAAAAACCCCAAACTGCGGCATGCTGACGCGTTGTGACAGCGCGACCGGAAGGCACAAAGAAGGCTGCACCCTATGTGCCCTACGATATCTCTTCTGGAGTTCACGGCAGGTGTGCATGTGACATCCGTCTTGGAGTCTGAAGCAAGTTCGAGCATGAATGAGCAACTAGGCGCACAAGTTCTGGGGGCGTGCACGGAAGTGAAACTAGGTCTCATGCCCCATCAATCTCCTCACTGCCATTCCTGTCGCTTGCGCACGCTGCTGGCACATCAGGCTGCTTCCGGGAGCAGGCTTTCAGAGGTATTGCTAAGCCCCGAGGTTTACGCAAAGCTGATGCGCGGTGGCGAGCAGTGCCTTGGTTCCAACGGCATAGACTCAGAGAGGGAGGTCGCAACGACAGCGACTCTGCATTGGACTTCAAGCCGGTGCTGCCGCTGCTATCCAACTTCCACCGAGGTTTCCGCCAGTTAGCATTGCTTGGCGTGAAGACTCTATGGACTGGAGATGGCGGGACGGCTGCCATCGGTGCCTTGTCCGAGGTTTCATTTTCTACAAGCTTAATAGCTTCAGGCAAGCAATGCCGCTGCAATCCAAGATTGAAATAAGGTACTTTGGAGCATTGGTGAGTGGCAGATACTTGCCAGCATCCTGGTGGCAAGACTTCAGCATGCGCTGCAGCAAGCTTGAGGCTTGAACCATTTGCATGTGAAGATGCTTTACATCGAATGCCAAGGTGTCTTTCAAAGATCCTACTCGGGGATCGCTGAACCAGTGATGCCGCTGCGACCGTGACCCTGTGTACATATCCCAATGTAGATCGATGGAAGCTGCATCGTGCAGCAGTGGCAGTGCTGAACCAAAACGGTGGACAGAGCCGACACCAACGCAACGGTCTACACTGCACCCAGCCGTTCAAGCTTGGCCTTGGCTGCATCGCTGAGAGTGAACCTGCTGGGCATGCACCTGATAGTCCGGGAGTGTCGGAGCTGCAAGTCTAAGTGCTCGATTATGCATTGCCTAGCGGCCCAGCGCAGGAACGCGATCACAAGCGACGACCAGGCCCGGTCACGAAGACAACCCCGCATGCCCCAGTGAAAGTGCTACTGAGGGTGTGCATGGCACGGTGCCAGCTCCCAAACAAACGAGCATCTCTTTAGCTGAGCTCCAGAAGTGGCATTCTGCAGCAGTTTCTGTCGCCAGATGCGACGCGATCCGCAAACGGTGGAGGCCCAGACTGAGACTGCCCACGCACAATCACAAAGACATCTGCTGGGTGCTAGTTCTACTTGTAATCTAGTCCGATGCCAGGCAACTGCATCGTGTCCCCTAAATGGGCTTTGCAATCTGCTGTATCTCGAAAACTTTGAAACGTGGCACCGGCACGATCCCAGTTCGCTCAAGCCGCAGGTGTCGAGGAGCGGCCAGAGAAGCGTGTGGGGCACTTACTATACATATCTATACATATATAATATTAGTAATAGTAATAGTAATAGTACTAGTACTAGTACTAGTAATAGTAATAGTAATAGTAATAGTAATAGTAATAGTAATAGTAATAGTAATGGTAATGGTAATGGTAATGGTAATGGTAATGGTAATGGTAATGGTAATGGTAAGAATAATAGTAATAATAATTTGAATAATATATATAGGCGAGCATTCGGAGAGGGTAGTGGCAGGGTGCAGCTGGAGGGTAACAATGTCTTGACAGGTGCGGCGCGAGGAGGACGCGGCCCCAGCCGTGACCTCAATCCAGAAAAGTTCCCGAAGTGGCTGGAGTGTAAAATTGACTCCTCGTTGCTGGCAACAGCTCACATCCCAGCAGTCTGTGGATGAGCATCCACAAATGGCATAGCCCATGCTTTGACATGCTGTGGCACTCTCTCATGAAAGTGCCGCTTTGCTTGCCAGAAGCGGCGGGATGACGAAGTCGTCGTCTTGCCCTCAAAGAATTTGGATGCGATTTGGATGGACTGGGCAGCGTAGCCTTGCGAGTCAACCGTGAGCCGCTGGTACCCCTCAACATCCCCCCTTTTGCTACCCTCCTCTCCATGACAAGCGTACCAGCAGCTATGACAAACCTCGAGTCAAGGTGATCCCATCATCTCCATCTCACCGACCGGCCATCAACCGGAATGCAGGCGGTGCTTCTGATGGTTCAGGGGTAGTGCTGCGCAGGAAGAATCTCTTCAAGACTTGTGACAAAGCAAGATGCAGGAAGTGCGCGGAACTCTCTGTCCGTGCAACCTGGAAGCGATCGCGAAGGCAGAGCTCAGGGTGCCCTGGGCCGTGTTTGCGGAAATCCAAGGCATAATTGACCTTCAAGGCAAACGATGCGAGAGGTGGTTCGAAGTCGTCGGTCAGCATGCAGCCAGACGTGAAGCTTAGAATTTTCGAGAGCTCGCGCTTGCACTGCATGGTGTCACGTCAACACCCAGCTCGCATGGGAGCTTTCTTCAGCAGCTCCAGTGCACTGTGTGCAGTGGCAGTCTTGATGTTCTGTGTCCCTGGCCCATGCGTGAGTCTTGTGTAGGCCGCAGCAGCAGAAGTGTAGTTAGCGGCCAGGAACTGAGAGAATCGAAGAGAGCGAGAAATTGCAAGTGAGAAGCCTGTGGAGACGACCAAAGCCGGCTTCATGCAGCCTTCACTGACGCTTGCTCTAAGGAGGATACGATGCGTATTCCCGACGTCCTGGGGTCCAGCATGCTGAAGCCTGAGCCAAAGGGTCGAGACCATGGCAAATCGGGGCGGCATGACGGGTCCCTCGAGAAGATGTGTGTGTGTGTGGACATGCCGCAACGCAGCATGCACCAAAGCTTCATAGATACTGGCGTCATGTGTACCACCGGCTACTGACCACCTCGCATGATGCAGTCAACTTACACATGGTCCCAGCGAGGTGGTGTGTGAACTTTACACCCCCCGAGCGCTCACAACCTCTGACCGCCGTACTATACTGGTACCATGTAAAATTCGCAAGGGCATGTGTCTTTCGGAACTCTGTCCTTTCGATGTGATTCGATTTCCAGGATTCTGAGAGCTATTGCAGCGTGAAGTGAAGACAAAATAGAACAAAAGCGGTCGTCACGCCCAGGGTGCGCCGTCCAGACACGAACGCCGCAGGCTTGCCAGCTCCCTCTATAGGATCCACGGTGGGGTACGAAGGGGCGCCGGTGCTGATGTAGAGACCGGATCCTGTCGTGTGGTTGGAGAGGTGACTGCCCGTGGTCCTGCGTCTGGCAGAATCCCAAGCATCAAACAGCAACTTTCGGAGTTCGTTAGTATGGTCAGATTGACGGCCAGCCGACGATGAGCGTTTTATCAGCTTTCTCTAACCTGCAGACGCTGACATTGTCTGTGACACGTGAACTCCTCAGTGGCAAGGTCTGGCACGCCGGCCTGGCTCAGGAAAAAGGTAGTAATGCGTTGCAACGTGACTGGCAGGGAAGCTTGAGATGATTGCATCGAGCGTTCACATGTCCAAGTGTTGCCTCCGACGTTTGGCCCTCAGTGGTACAAATGTAGTGTGATGAGCAGTAACGTCGACGGATATAGCATATATATATATATATATATATATGTACACACGCAGTCACACGCATACACACACACACATATGTATATCTATATCTATATATATATATATACACCCGTACACACACATATCTATATCTATATCTATATATATATATGCATATATGCATATATCATCTATATTTATATGCACATACATATGTCTACAGATGTCCACGGCTCCGCACTCTGCTACCGAGCCACTCTAGGCAGTGTCCTGATGGCCTGCCAGGCGCCGATAGACACCGCACCTGCCAGATATATCTATATATCTATATCTATATATATATATATATATATATATATTATATGTGTGTCATATGTGTATATATATATATATATATATATATATATATATATAGTGCATCTGTATAGGGTTTAGATGAAAGCGCCTTTAAGTCAACATTGCCCATTCCTTGTAAAACGATAAGAGTAAAAAATAACGATAGCCGAGATTTTTAGAACACGCAGTCCAATTGCCTGTAAAACGATAAGAGTGGCAAAAGGCGCATGAAGTAGATCACACAGACCCCAAGTCCTATAAAACGATAAGAGTAAAATAAAACGATAACCGTGTTAAGGGTCATGTAAATGGATGGGGGTTATTCACGCACCCTCACATGCATACTGGGTTCTTGATTCAATAATTCAGCACGCGGTCATGCTAAGACGTCCAATACCGCGGCTCCCGGACTGATTGGATGACCGCATCACGCACGTGTCCTTTTGCCTACTTGCAGCGTCGTTTTGAGTGATTTTTTCCAAGTGTTTTCTGGGAGCCTCGTATTCACTGAATCAGCTCATGTCTCGTAACATACCGGTATGATAGAAGGTCTGTTAGTGCTGGCTTTGGGAGAGGGTCGGTGAAGACCTTGACTGCTTCGTCCAAGTTAAGGTCAACAGGTTCGCAAGGACCTTTGCAGAAAGTCAGGGTCATGTAGGCGGTAGACGATGCATCCCTCTCCACAGACGAAGCCCGGGAGAGACTTGCGCTTTTCTGCTTTAGTGTCTGTGCTCGCAGGCGATGGAGTGCCTCTTCACCCATGGAGCACAACTCTTGTGTGCCATCCCGTCATGAAAGTGATTGTGATCCCAGATGACAGTCACTTCGATGCTGGGGAGGACACCGAAAGGAAGACATACCCGCATGGGAACGCGGCATGGATCGCCCTGCCTGGATTGAAGGGGGATGACTTTTTCTGCAGCTGTGACAAAACAAGGCCTACTGCAAACATCTACCAGCTGGTGCTGAGAGGGATAAAAAAAGTGTTAAAGATTGGAAGTATCAGGGAGGAAGTTCTGTGAAGCTGTCTTCCTCGCGCTCACCACAGGGACACCAGATTCGAGCCCGTCCAAAGAGCTCCGAAACTTGTGATCACTGCAGCATGGAAATATCTTCAGGTTCGAACCTGACTCTGACTCGAGTTTCTTGAGCGAATGTCCACTGAGCTTTCATCAGCCATGGCTCAACGGCCGAAGCTAAGTCTCAAACTGTCGCAGCGTCGTCCGATGTCGTACTTCGCCTTAGCCTCAGCCGTGACACCGTAGCATCTCAAACCGTTGCAATCTCTTTGAAGCGAAGCACACAGCAATGCCTGCCGCGGGCTTCGTTGCCTTGCCCGGTGTCCACCTTCCACCAGGCACGTTTCGCGATGTTTCACGAGTGCTCACATCTTGCTCGTCTGATTTGAGCTCCGATTCGCAGGTCCTGCGCGGCCGACGCGGCCAAGTTCCCATGGAGCAGCAGGAGTGAGGGAATGTTGGGCGAAGTTGGGCGGACGTGCAAAGTTTCGAGTCAGGATCGGGTTTCAGTACTCGTGTGGCGCCGGAGATGGCCCCGGACCCCAGCCAGTGTACGGTGAGGTAGTTCATGTTGCATGCATCCTGGGCTTGGCCCGCTGGGCTTTCGGTCTCAGATGCTGAGACGATCTATTCAAGGCAGCCGTCGGGCTCCTCGCGCTTGCAGCTCCATGCCGGTGCCGCACGGCACGAAGGGCAGAGGCCGGAGCAGACGCGTCCCGCAAAGGCTGCGCTGGGTTCTCGCTGCTTGGCTGCTCAGGGGCCAGATCGCGGGTTCAGGATCCTCGAGGCAGGGGCCGCGACGGTGTGTGAAAGTTGTCAAGAGCCCGTGGAGTGCTTGCAGCATCTTGCGCCATGGTGACATTGCCTCTGGCTCACATGCAGGTTGCATCCTCGTTCCTGGGAGGCCAGAAATCACTTGTCAAGGCGCTCTTGAGATGTGGGCCATGTACAAGAACTCTTCGCAGACGTGGTGCAGACTTGGCTACTGTAATTTTCGCCTAGAGGTTCCGTTGTTTTCCAGTTCTCTTTTGATTCGGAAAGGGAGTGCCGCATGCGGAGATGATTAATCCTGCGTCCAAGAAGTTTATCCTTCACTGGCTAGGCTGCGCGATGGGGCAGCCGTGAGGCGGCAACTGCTTGCAAGCTGACATGTCGATGTTCTGGAACGCCCAACACAAGAGTGTGTACGAGCTTTCGTATTGAACAGACGAAGTCGGAGGCATGGAGAGTGATGGTGCGAGAGCTCGCTCCTCAATCCCCCGAAGGCGCGCGACACAAGATGTACGCACTTCGCTTCCATCCATGTGGGCAATCCGTGGAGACGTATGTGCTCACTAGCACATGCTGACAAGCAAGACTAACGACATCCTCGAAAGAAAAGTGCCCACGAAGCAACAGTCCGCATCGCACCGCAAGAGTGTGCTTTCCTGCTGCAAGCAGCTACAGTACCCATACTGCACGTGTCGGCGTCCAGGGGACTACATGCGGCCACGGAGTGAGCTGGTTGCCTCAAAGGACACCAGTGTAGCACTGGAAGAGCCACCAGCAGAGCAACTTGGATGTGCCATCGAAGTTATACTTCGAACTTCGAACGTACAACTGCCTGCAGGATAAGGCGCCCCTGCGCTCCGAAGGCACGTTGGAAGATGCCTCGCGGCCCGCGGCAAGCCATACATGATTGCTTGCTGGCAGCTCTGCAGGCTATGCGCTTTACCTTGGCAATACTTGCCCGTGGTGCCACCGGGCCAAGTCCCTTGGCGACGAGCTCCCGGCTTTCTCGTGCTCTTTTCGGAGAATGCGTCAGTGGCAAGCGGTGTGGCGTGCGGAGTTCGCATAGTGCTTGTAAGTGTTTGGTATCGTGGTGTTTGTAAAGCATGTCGAGACTGTTGTAAGCATTTCAGGGTTGCTCGAAATGCTTCCAAGGACGAATTAGTGAGCAAGACTCCCTGGTAACGAGGTTCTTGCTAAACAAGGAAACTATCGACTATCTTGTGAATCTTATGGATATTTTGAGGACCTGGTCGTTGAGGCCTTTTATCAAATTAAGGTTGGCTTTAACCCTTCGCCGCCTGCCGCCACGCTGCGTTGCAGATGTGAAGTCCCTCTTCTGCACCTATCCTGACATTCTGCACATGCTTCGTTGGCATCGACCCCCCTCCGAGCGTGCAGGCTCGTGGACAACGCCGAGCGTGCTTCACGAGGTGGCTGGGCCTTTGATCCTCAGCAAGGCGCGTCGATTAGCTGTGGGGCGTCTGTTCTGGTCTCAGTTCAAAGACGCCAGTGCTAGGAGCTGCGGACCCTGTCTTTGGAGCCGCAGACCTTCGTGAGGTGTATGACCGAGCAGCAGGCAGGGATTCTTCTGAGGTACAGTTGCTAAATCAAGTATTTGGTGCTAATCCGGGTGAGAGCTTTTATCCACCTTCCTTCTGTCCCGACTCTTCTTGCTCAGTAATACTGCACAGGGATTGTGGTCAACTCGGGCTATGTACCGTTTGCCACATGGGTGGTTGTCCAAATTAGGGTCCTTGTTGGGTTCCCAATATAATACGGCACCTAATATTTAGGGTATCCAAAAAAGGACCATAATTTTGACAACTACCCAAATGTGTCTCATGCAACTATGGTGAAGTCTTCTTCCTGCAGGCCGCGACGGTAGTGGCTACGTTGGTCGCTGCACAGCTCCATTGCTGGTCGCCGGGCTGCATCTGGGTGGATGTCAAAATTATGATCTCTTTTTGGGTACGGCACCTAATATTTAAGGTGCCCAAAAAGGGACCTTAATTTTAACGCTACGCCGCCCGCCTCGGCTGTGTAGCGGCAGGGCGAGGGGGCAGTCGATGTTTTTTAATGCTAGGGCGGCCTGTCAAACCCCAACCTTTACACGGTTGTTGATACGAGGAGAACGGGTACGAGCGGGTGGGGTGGGGGGGGGGGAGGGGGGGGAGGGGGGGGGAGGGGGGGGGGGGAGGGGAGGGGAGACCGCAGGGAGGAGGATTAGAGCTAACCCCCAAGACGCCTGGGCCTGTGGCCTCGGCGGATTTTGACAACTACCCATCTGTGTGGATGGTCGAATGGCATTCCTGGGGCTCCCGGGTTTACTCAGCCTAGTGTCACGTACTACGAGCAGACCTTGGAAAGGTGGACACACGCAGCCGGCAAGCCGTGTCCAACGACAGCGTCCAGCGCTCTGCATGAAAAGATGTGGGCCAGTCCATGGGCCCTTTGCCGGGAGAGCAGACTTTCCTGATTGCTAGCCATGTCATACTGCAAGTACTTGTTCGCCACTGTAAGGATTGTTCGGCTCATTGGGACCGCCAGCGTCTGCGCCTCGAGCATCTTCAAGCTGGGCAGCAGAACAAAAACCAGGGAAACCGGGCCTTGTCCACCGAGGCAACAGACGAAGAGCGCAGCCAGGGGCGAGCTGTCGACCTGGTGCCGCAGGAGCTGATTGGGCAGATTGAGGTGCCCAACCTATGCGATAGGCACATCTCAAGTGCGCAGAGGAGCACGAACGGATTTTGATGATCTGGTGGTTTGATGCTTGTCTCGCGAAGAATTGCGGCCCTTGGAGGCCACGACTCGCTGGACCTACGAGCTGCTGTCCAACGCAGTTTACCGGGCAGGCTTTGCCACCACCCAGGACCTGACATTCTGACCCTTGCTTCTGAGAGAATGAGAATTGGGGGAGCGGTCGGACTGCTACGATGAACAGAATCAACTGGAGCTTGGCCCGTTTGACTGTCGTCTTCAGACTTCAGAGGAAGCCTTTGCGCGTGCTGCAAGGGATGTCGCAGAAGGCCACTCGGCTTGCCCATGTTTGCAGCGCCAGGAATCAGTCATTGCCTGGTCAACTCCATGTTCTCTGGATATGGAGCGGGTGTCAGCAGCATGACTGCAGGCCTTCAGCGTGTTGAGGAGCAGTTGGCTGGGAGCCGCTTTCTGTGCCTTCGGCAGAATGTAGTGCTCGGCTGGAAACCTGCAACAAGCCACACGGGAAAGGAGCGTAGATGAGCATAGTCGTGGCATATAGTGACAATTTGAAGATGGTGCAAGGCGGAGATGTGTGCTGAACCAGTTGTTTCACAGAGTGTCCGTACAAATTGCCTGGCCCATCCTAGCCTGAGAAGCGTTCAGGTGTGGTGACCGTCTGACAGAGGCAGACGTGACTTGGCTGCGCGCAGCTTGGGTGTGCTCAGCATTTTGATGGTACTGCCGAACCAGCAGGCCTGACTCCGCACATGGACTGCAGTCGAGGAGCTTCAGTCGTTTGCTTTTTACGCTCGGGCTTTAGATTTCTGCTATCAATTCCCTGTGATCCGTAACGCCTCATTCTAGGATTCGCGGCAAAACTTTTGCGGATTGCGCCAGGCATGCAACATGCAGACACGAGCCTGTCCCGGTTTGTGGTTTCGTCCAGTTCCCCCTCAGAGTGCTTCACACTTCGCCTGCTTTGAACATCGGGAAGTCTCCTGCTCTTCCAGGTTATGCTGCTGCCATGCGCGGCGCGTTTTGATGCTGTTTACGCCTCTCTTTTCTTGAGGGGCTCCTGTGGCCTGTGGCGTGAAGGCGCAGATGGCACCTCGCGGTTCACGCAGGGGTTCAGCACATTGACATCTGCACTTGGACATGAATCTGAGAGGCGAACACCGCCGCCGATGGCTTCAGCGCTGCTGGTCCTTGCCGGGGGCGCTCGATCTCAGGGGGCTTTAGGTGGTCGATCTTGCTCGTGCAGTGAGGAATCCGGATAGTGAGGAACGAAGTCAAATGCACCCACCAATTAGTATCATGTGAAGAAAGGAGCATCTGCTCTGGGTGCGTGGGGCTTCCATGCCTGCAGGTGCCGCAAACTGTCGATCTGCGTGCCTGTCAAGAGAGCTGCTTGCATGCAGCTCGAGAGCCCAAGTTTCTAATTCTGTTCGTGTGGCAAGCCTTCGAGTACTTGCTCTGAGCACGACTGCAGCATGCGGAACATTGACATGCACCAACGCTACGAAACGAGATTCACGGGCAGACTACGCAGCTCAGGTTACTTTCGAAGCCTCTTCCCCCTCAACCCGTCGCAGCTGCTGCCTAAGTCACACTGTCAGCCCCGGCTTGCAATGTGCAGCATGGTTCAAGCCATCACCAGGATCGTTCCTGTACCTGCGTCTGACCCTGGTGCGCTCGGAACAGAGAGCAGCTCCGAGGAGGACAGGCACCGGCTCGTGTTTGCGCAGCCATGAGGCTGCGAAACCCAGGCCTCAGCCTTGTCACTGCGAACTAGCGAGGAGGACATCACGAGACAGTGCACTGCGAGTAGCCATCCACATGAATAGCCATCTGCTTCCTTGTCGGTGCCGCCGAAGTTTCCAGACGGTCAGGAGTTGTAGTGAGTTTCAGTGGAGTCGCAGACATTCAGAACGCGTGCACGTGCCAAGCAGGACCTGGATGAAGTCTTCCATTGGCGGAAAGTCTGAGCAGATGAACAGCCCTTCTGTAGCTCTTTTGCGATATGGAGCTTATTGCAGCTTCGTTGAGAAGCGCTGCAGCAAAGGAGGTTGAGCCGACGAGGGGCTTGGAAGCTGGTCAGGAACCATGATGCGTAGCATGCCAATTTGTGCAGCTTGAATGCTCGCGACAAGCGTAACGTGCCTTTCGTCCGCGCATACCTCATGAGGAACCGGGGGCAGGGCCTCGCAGGCGTTTGCGATGTTTTGCCGCTGTTTCCTCCACTCCGGGCAGGTTCGTTTCAGCGATCGTCCGCTGAGGCATTTGGGCTTTAGCGCAGTGCCTTGACATCGAGTCTCCCCGGCCTCGCCATGTTCGCTCCCAGCCAGCAGTCCATGTCAGCAGCGGAGCAGCAGGAGACGAAGACCTGGTTGACCTCCGTGGCCTTCACCAGTGCCACCATCGAGGCTTTCGAGAAGCACGCCCTCGGCAAGAACCAGCTGGCCTACTTGGAAGACACGCACTTGAAACAGATGAACATCTGCATCGGCGACCAGCTGCGCATCAAGAAGGCTGCCCAGGAGCTGAAGAAGGAAGAGGCCAGGCAACAGGCCATGCAGGAAGCAGAGAGGGCCAACAAGATTGTGGCCACCTTCGCAGACAAGTTTTCTTGTTGTGGTTTGCCATGCACGCCGTTCCAGCACCATCGCACCACGTGGCAGATGTCCGAGGCGGGCATCGTCGAACACAAGGGTCTTGGACTGGGCAAAGGCGTCAAGCAGAACAACATCGACTTTGCGCAGGTGGCCGACGTGGATCGTCAGTCATCGGGCTGCGGTGGCTGCTTGGGCACCGTGACGCTCACAACCACCACCTCGGAGACCTACGTGCTGAAGACGGATCAAAGCAAGGTGGTTTTCGACGATGTCAAGAAGCACTGGCAGGCGGCCAAAGCAGCTGGAACCGCCTGAGGTGGCATTTCAACTGCTGTTTTTTTCAATACTTATCCTATCCCCCCAAGCACATCGGAGCTTCAGCATCCTTCATCCTCGCAGGAGTCTCTTAAGATCTCAGCGTCTTCTGCAATGTTCTTGGGGAGGGTCAGGTCTCCCATGCTCACCCTGGCGTCGGCTGACTTTTCCCACTTTGTCAGCCTCAGGGCCATAATAATAGAAGCCAAAGGCAGCTCCGTCATGCGCAAGCTCTGCATAAAAGACGCCGGTTCGGGGCTGTTCACGTTGTACTTGCAGGCTTGCAGGTTGCAGGAGTGGCAGTGTCTTCCACCAGAAAAGCCTTGCGAAGCCATGGTCTCCGGCAGGTTCGCTTCAGCGATCGTCCGCTGAGCCATTTGGGCTTTAGCGCAGTGCCTTGACATCGAGTCTCCCCGGCCTCGCCATGTTCGCTCCCAGCCAGCAGTCCATGTCAGCAGCGGAGCAGCAGGAGACGAAGACCTGGTTGACTTCCGTGGCCTTCACCAGCGCCACCATCGAGGCTTTCGAGAAGCACGCCATCGGCAAGAACCAGCTGGCCTACTTGGAAGACACGCACTTGAAACAGATGAACATCTGCATCGGCGACCAGCTGCGCATCAAGAAGGCTGCCCAGGAGCTGAAGAAGGAAGAGGCCAGGCAACAGGCCATGCAGGAAGCAGAGAGGGCCAACAAGATTGTGGCCACCTTCGCAGACAAGTTTTCTTGTTGTGGTTTGCCATGCACGCCGTTCCAGCACCATCGCACCACGTGGCAGATGTCCGAGGCGGGCATCGTCGAACACAAGGGTCTTGGACTGGGCAAAGGCGTCAAGCAGAACAACATCGACTTTGCGCAGGTGGCCGACGTGGATCGTCAGTCATCGGGCTGCGGTGGCTGCTTGGGCACCGTGACGCTCACAACCACCACCTCGGAGACCTACGTGCTGAAGACGGATCAAAGCAAGGTGGTTTTCGACGATGTCAAGAAGCACTGGCAGGCGGCCAAAGCAGCTGGAACCGCCTGAGGTGGCATTTCAACTGCTGTTTTTTTCAATACTTATCCTATCCCCCCAAGCACATCGGAGCTTCAGCATCCTTCATCCTCGCAGGAGTCTCTTAAGATCTCAGCGTCTTCTGCAATGTTCTTGGGGAGGGTCAGGTCTCCCATGCTCACCCTGGCGTCGGCTGACTTTTCCCACTTTGTCAGCCTCAGGGCCATAATAGAAGCCAAACGCAGCTCCGTCATGCGCAAGCTCTGCATAAAAGACGCCGGTTCGGGGCTGTTCACGTTGTACTTGCAGGCTTGCAGGTTGCAGGAGTGGCAGTGTCTTCCACCAGAAAAGCCTTGCGAAGCCATGGTCTCCGGCAGGTTCGCTTCAGCGATCGTCCGCTGAGCCATTTGGGCTTTAGCGCAGTGCCTTGACATCGAGTCTCCCCGGCCTCGCCATGTTCGCTCCCAGCCAGCAGTCCATGTCAGCAGCGGAGCAGCAGGAGACGAAGACCTGGTTGACTTCCGTGGCCTTCACCAGCGCCACCATCGAGGCTTTCGAGAAGCACGCAATCGGCAAGAACCAGCTGGCCTACTTGGAAGACACGCACTTGAAACAGATGAACATCTGCATCGGCGACCAGCTGCGCATCAAGAAGGCTGCCCAGGAGCTGAAGAAGGAAGAGGCCAGGCAACAGGCCATGCAGGAAGCAGAGAGGGCCAACAAGATTGTGGCCACCTTCGCAGACAAGTTTTCTTGTTGTGGTTTGCCATGCACGCCGTTCCAGCACCATCGCACCACGTGGCAGATGTCCGAGGCGGGCATCGTCGAACACAAGGGTCTTGGACTGGGCAAAGGCGTCAAGCAGAACAACATCGACTTTGCGCAGGTGGCCGACGTGGATCGTCAGTCATCGGGCTGCGGTGGCTGCTTGGGCACCGTGACGCTCACAACCACCACCTCGGAGACCTACGTGCTGAAGACGGATCAAAGCAAGGTGGTTTTCGACGATGTCAAGAAGCACTGGCAGGCGGCCAAAGCAGCTGGAACCGCCTGAGGTGGCATTTCAACTGCTGTTTTTTTCAATACTTATCCTATCCCCCCAAGCACATCGGAGCTTCAGCATCCTTCATCCTCGCAGGAGTCTCTTAAGATCTCAGCGTCTTCTGCAATGTTCTTGGGGAGGGTCAGGTCTCCCATGCTCACCCTGGCGTCGGCTGACTTTTCCCACTTTGTCAGCCTCAGGGCCATAATAGAAGCCAAACGCAGCTCCGTCATGCGCAAGCTCTGCATAAAAGACGCCGGTTCGGGGCTGTTAACGTTGTACTTGCAGGCTTGCAGGTTGCAGGAGTGGCAGTGTCTTCCACCAGTAAAGCCTTGCGAAGCCATGGTCTCCGGCAGGTTCGCTTCGTCCGCTGAGCCATTTGGGCTTTATCGCAGTGCCTTGACACCGAGTCTCCCCGGCCTCGCCATGTTCGCTCCCAGCCAGCAGTCCATGTCAGCAGCCGATTGTGAACTAGGCAGAGTTTTCGGAGTACGCTGTGTTTTCGTTTTATTAGAGGCTTTGTTTGGCCCTTCGATTGCTTGCACCTCCATTGCAGACATGTGTTTAATATGTTACACCAAGGGTACTTCCTTGACTCCAGGCGTGTTGTACTGCATCGTGCTGTGCCGAACTAGGCTCGACCAGCAGCGACACATTTTGCTATGCTACATGTCGCTTCACCCTAGTCTACAAACCACCACATTCTCCCAGAAGTTGGCTGTAAGATTTGCAGTTTTACTTGTTGGCAGCCGTGGAAGATCGTGGAAGCATTGTGCGTGAGAAAAGTTAAAGCAAGAAGGAAGTCCGGGAATCCACGTTCCCACAACTAATTCCGTTCTCCTGTGGACAATGCAGCTCGCAGCCTTCGAAAGGGAGTCATCACTACTATCAGCATCGGCATCGTCGTCAGTGTCAGCATCATCATCATCCTCATGGCTGGCTTTCTTTCAGCAGGCCCTTTCAATTGAAGTACCATGGGCAGTGCAAGTGTCCAGCCATCCGGGCTGCCCAGGTTCGCGGCATTGAGCCAGCATGGAGGAGGCAACGTCAGCTCAGCCATGTCTCCAACACAACTAACACTCGTGAACGCCGTACAACAGCAGTCTGCCGACTCAGGGAGTGTGGCGTTTTGGCGGTCTGGAGACTGAGATAGTGGCAACTGTCTACCACGTAGATCAACGCAGGCTTGGCCCGAAACCCAGTGCTGTTTGCGCATTGGGCACCTCGGTAATTATTATCCTAAGCTTTGCGCCCGAAGGGCCCGGGTGGAATACCCCTCTCTTCCCTCCATGCCGTGCTTGCCATCTTTGGTACCTCTTCCACCTGGCACGGCACTGTCGCAGCATGTGCAGACGCTCGAGGGGCCATCCTCGTCAGAGGCCGGGGCACATCTGCGAGCCTAGGTAGACGCAAGCTTGACACGTAAACCCAGCCCAGATCGCCCTAACTTTCTTGACAGGCCAGCCCTGTGAATTTTCCCATGTACACAATTGACTTGGCGGCGGTCCTGCGGATGGTGAAAATCAAGCCGCATGAGGAGTTGCTGGCAGACGGAGCCCTCACTCTATTCGACGAGCACATGGGGCGAGCAGCTTTCGTCTCCCACCAGTGGGTGGCCAAGCATCATCCAGATCCAGATCACAAGCAATTCCGAGTCTTGCAGGATGCCTTGCGGAACATCTTGTCCGGGGTCACGCAGATTAGCCTTGACGTGGTCACAGAGCTCATCATTGGCAAATCTCCGAAAATGGCATGTTCCTTGCATCCGGCGGACCTGCATATCTGGTACGACTATTTTTCCTGCCCGCAGAAAGAGAACCGGCGTGACGCCAGCCAAACCTATGACAGTGATCTGGCAAAAGCTATCAGCAGCATTCCGGCGTACATTGCCAAGTGTCAGCTGATGTTTGTGCTCTGCCCGGTCATTGAAAGTTGCGAGGGGAGGACGATGTTGGGACCATCGAGTTGGGCCAACCGTGCCATGGTTGCAAGTTAGGAGCTGAGTGCCTTAGGCCATGCCTTGTTATATCTCGGCAAAGTATCTCTAATCGAAGGCGGTCGTGGGTCCTGACATGAAGCTACGAAGTTTCGAAAAATAAGGTGGGTGGTGCAGACTCGAGAGGCTGGCCAAGGAGTGTTCCGGAGATGGCTCCTTCTTTATGGTGAAGAGTCCCAGGCATGTGGAGCTGGTCGTAACTTCCTTCGCATCTTCCTGTGAGAATTCTCCCGGTGAAGGCTGCTTCACAGTGGAAGCGGATCGCTCAAGAATCGCCCCGGTGGTGAAGCAGGTGCTCAAGCAGAAGTTGACTCAGTGCCTGCAGACTGGAGATTTGCCCAGCTACCGGGTGGTGCTGAATGCGCAAGCTATCCTTTGCAGAGGCCTTCCGGTGGATCCCATTTCAGATATCGTACCGGGTTTCGATTCCACCCGGCATGAGTCTGATGATGCCGGGTCGATCATGGTTGCGCAGTTCTTATTCCAGAATGGGTTTTCCCAGGTGTCTGAGTATGACGCAATGGGATGGTCACCGATCTGCTACGCCGCTCTTAATGGGAATGCAGCATTGGTGAAGGCACTGCTGGAAAGGCGTGCCAACCCCAACGATGAAACCAAGAAGGGGCAGCCACTGCTGGCTCTGCAAAAGATGGTGACCGTGCTGGGCATTTCTGCATTCTTCAAGAACAACGATGTCATGACGTTGCTCCTGGAGGCCAGAGCTGATGTCAGTCCCAGAGGCGCGCGACCTCCACCTTTGTGCCTTGCAAGCTTCGGCAACAATGCGACCGGTATACAGTTGCTCTGTCAAGCGCGAGCAAACCCTCATGGCAAGAATCTTCTAGGCATGTCTGCACTGCAGCATGCTAGCGCAACAGGTGCATGTGATGCCATGGATATGCTCCTGAATATAGGGGGCGGCAACCTCGATCTATCAGGCTCGCTGCATGCTGCAGCCCTGCTCCACGGTG